CATCCATATAGACATTGAGACAGCCCATGCTAATCCTAGGTGTTAGAGATGATGTTAATAAAACTACTCATTGCCAGATGTGGCAGCACATGTCTTTAATCACAGAGTTCTGGAGGCAAAGACAGGATGATCTCTGTGAGTTCAAGGCCAGCCTGGTCTACATAGTGAGTTACAGGGACAGCCAAGACTACATACAGAGACCCTGTCTGCGATTAAAAAAGAAAATTAAAACAATTCTTGGGTTCGTGATTTAGAAAGGGAATGCAAATTGCTTGAGATTCTGGGAAATATCACTTCTTGGCCTGCATCTGGCTACACTTATGTCTGCATAGTAAGACTATCCACACATTGTGTGCTTTTCTCTTTTTAAATTGTAAATTTGTTTTTAGTCAATACAGCTGTCATACCAGGCTGGGAATCAGTGCATTGCTCAGCCCTCATGAGAGAAGCTTCTTCTTACAGTTTGTGAAATTAACACAAAGGCCCATGACTAAACAATGTGCAGAGAGTGAGAGACTTGGGAGCAGTCAGCCCTAGACACCTCCCCTGAAGGCTCAGGGGTCCATGCATGAGGGAAGCCAGGAAGACTGTAAGAGTCAGAGGGGATGGAAGACTCCCAGGAAACTGCCTCTTCCAGACACAATAGGACTGATGCACATATGAACTCACAGAGACTGTGATAACTTGCATAAGACCTGCACAGGTTCATCCTTCGTGGTCCAGTCACTAAGAAGTGAAAATGGACACTGTCTTAGTTAGAGTCTTATTGCTGCGAAGAGAGGCCATGACCATGGCAACTCCTATAAAGGAAAACATTTAATTGGGGCTGACTTACAGGTGCAGAGGTTTAGTCCATTGTAGTCATGGCAGGAAGCATAGTAGCATGTAGGCAGACATGGCACTAGAGAGGAAGCTGAGAGTTCTATATTGAGATCAGCAGGCAGCAGGAAGAGACAGACATTGGGCCTGACTTGAGCATTTGAAACCTCAACACCCAACCCTAATGACACACTTCCTCCAACAAGGACACACCCACTCTAACAAGGCCATACCTCCTAATAGTACCATTCTCTGTGGGTCTATGGGAGGCCATTTTCATTCAAACCACCATAGAAACAAAGCCCCATCCCTAACCAAGAAGTTCTTTGCAATAGATGCCTTTTGGGAAAGAGGATATTAATTTTCTTCAATGAAGTGTCACTGGATATATCAATTACAATCCAGAGCAGGCTCAATGCCCAAGACTATCTGGCCAACAAAAAACGGGCTCCATGTTTGTGTGTGTGTGTGTGTGTGCGTGTGTGTGTGTAACTTTTGCTTTGTTTTAGGGTTTTTTTTGTCTTATAGTTTTCTGGTTTTTAGTTTTTCTGCTATGGTTTTCATTTCGTTGTTGCTTTCTTGTTTATTTTAGAGAGAAAGAGATGTCACGTTGAGTGGGGTAGGGAAGTGGAGAACATCTGGGAGGAGTTGTGGGAGGGGAAATAATATGATCAGAATGTATTATATGAAAAAAATAAAAGTTTTTAAAGAAAAACTGCTTTTAGCCTTCTGTGGTGCTGGGAATTGAACAGAGGACATCATGCATGTTACGTATCTGCTGTACTTCTTAGCTACACTCCCAGCTCTGTGTACTGATGTGTGGGAGTAAAGGGTGACACAGCAAGCCAATACACCTCTTCTCTAAGACCTAGAACTTACCTAGCGCGACTTCAAGTTTACTTCCTCCCAGCACCAGTCCTTTGTAAGGGACCCAAGTTAAGACAGAATCAAAATGCTGGGTTCCAGACCCCATATTTGTTGTGTACCTTGCAGATCCTAAGAAGTGTTAGGTAACAGAAGTACTGGAGACTATCAGCCTACATGGCAAGTGGAAAACCAAGGAAGGGGAGTTCTGGCATCAATGTGAACCCTAAATGGCATGTTTCCAACCCCAGAAATCATGCATGCTCTCTGGGCAGGTGATAACAACAGTTAGTTGGCTTCATGGAGACTGGGTAGACATTAACAGACAAAAGGGGATATGCATGATCTAGTCTCCAGTGTGTATGCTTCTATAGAACAACAAAACCCTAGTGCTAGATTAAATGTGTCTTGTGAGTTTGTTTGTCAGTCTGGTGGGAATGCAAACTCATATAGCCACTATGGAAATCAGTATGGCAGTTCCTTAGAAAGTTGGGACTCAGTCTAACTCAAGAGCCAGCTATAACATTCTTAGGCATATACCCAAAGGGTGCTTCATCCTACCACCAAGGTATTTGTTCAACCATGTTCATTGTTTCTCTATTCATAATAGCCAGAAACTGGAAACCACCTAGATGTCCCTCAACAGAGGAGTGGATAAAGAAAATGTGGTGCATTTATACAATGGAGTATTAGTTGGCTGTTAAAAAAATGACATAATGAAATTACAGGCAAATGGATGAAACTAAAATAAAATGATCCTCAGTGAAGTAACTCAGACACAGAAAGCTAAATATGACATGTATTCATTATATGTGGATATTAGCTATTAAATAAATGATAACCAGGCTACAATCCATAGGCCCAAAGAGGTTAGGTCTAGAGGAAGGGACTCAGGAGGACACATGAATCTCCCCGAGAGGTGTAAATAGATTTTATGGGTAGTGTGGGGATAGGCAGGTCAGGAACAGGAGAGTCAGGTGGGGAGGGTGAGGGGAAATGGGGTTAATGGAGGGAATGCAAGGAAAGACAGCTAGAATACTGCTTGGGTGACCAAGAACCAGAGACTAGATAGCCCACAGACCTAGAATAAAACCAAATACTGACATAAGAAAAGTTAACAATAAAATAACTCCTCGTGATATTCTACTATACTTTAGATCAGTGTCTCATCCAGTCATCATCAGGGAGGCTTCCTCCTGCTGCAGATGGGAACAAATACAGAGACCCACAACCAGGCATTCAGCAAAGAAAGAGACCTTGGAACACACAGCTCTAAACGGGATGTCTCCATCAAGCCCCTTCCCTTAGAGCTCAGGGAACCCCACAGGAGAAGCAGAAAGTGTATATGAGCCAGAGGGGACACAGAACACCAAGAGAGCAAGGTCCTCTAAATCAACTGAACAAAGGCCATATGAATTCAGAGACTGAAGCAGCAAACATGGGGATGACACTGCTCCAGGGTCTCTGCATATATGTTTATAGCTTTCAGTTTGGTTCTTGTTTTGTTTTGTTTTTAATGGGATTCCTTTGATGTGAACAAGTGGGTCTCTGATTCTTGTGCCTTCTCTTAGGGCTCTTTTCCTTCTGTTGGTTTGCCTTGTCCAACTTCAATGTGAGGGTTTTTGTTTTGTCTTATTGTATTTGGTCCTTTTGGTGGTTCTTTCTTTTTTTTTTTTTCTTTTTTGGTTTTTACGAGACAGGGTTTCTCTGTATTGTTTTGGAGGCTGTCAGTCCAGCCCGGCCTCGAACTCACAGAGATCTGCCTGCCTCTGCCTCCCGAGAGCTGGGATTAAAGGTGTGCGCCACCACCGCCCTGCTTGGTGGTTATTTCTAAGAAGGCTATTCTCTTCTAATGAGAGACAGGGAGGGGTGGATTCAGATGGGGAGAGGTAGAGAGGAACTGAGAGGAGTGGAGGAAGAGGAAACAGTAATCAGAATATATAAAAAAAAAGTAAAGAAAAAAAACCACTAGCAACATAGACTATAACAAAGATCATCAAGTATGTCCCCTATAGCCACCATGCAGAATGGGATTTCTACTGAGTGGGTTCCTTGTAATCAGACTCATGCTTTACATGGTGCCCTTCTCATGGGGTTTCTGAAACACGCAGAATGTTAAAATTCAATTTCCAGTCAGTTCCCATAAATACTGTATGATAAATGAAGAGCTGTCTCAGAACTCACTCTGTAGACCGGGCTGGCCTAGAACTCACAGAGATCCTTTTGCCTCTGCCTCACTTGCTGGGATTAAAGGCCTGGCCACCAAGCCCAGAGATAAATTAAGATTGTTTCATTTGCTTCATGCCACTTCTGGACACCTTCTTGTGGCCTCCTCTTTCGGGAAGAATGAGTCATCTTACAGAAAGTGCTAGAGACAGTTGTTATGACAAAATCAGGCATATTAGATTACTCCATCTCATACATACAAAGGATGAAATATCAGAACTGAAGTTGGGCTCTAGATTTTCCTGACAACAGATAACATTAGAAATGGAAATTTTACCAAGATACATCAGGTTCAGATTTTCAACAATGTTTAAAACCGGAATGCAAGAAATTATGCCCCACAATAACAGACCAAAAGAGTTTATTAAATAACATATGGCAAGATTATAAAAGACATTTCCAGATGTTCACATAGGTTCCCAAAGCTATATTGCCTATAAACATTTATTCAACCCCAAACATGAAACTGTGGGGAGGCTTCTGTGTTGGTTTGAAAAAAAATGACCCGAAAAGGGAGTGGCACGATTAGGAGGTGTCCTTGTTGAAACAGGCATGGCCTTGTTGGAGGAAGTATGTCACTGTGGGGACAGGCTTTGAGGTCTTTTGCTCAAGCTTCATTCAGAGTGTCACCCAGTCTACTTCCTGCTGCCTTGTATCCACATACAGCAGCTCCTTCTCCAGCACCATGTCTGCCTGCACGCTGCCATGCCCCCTGCCATGATGATGATAGACTGAACCTCTGAAACTGTGAGCCACCACCTCAGTGTTATTGTGGACATGGTGTCTCTTCACAGATATAGAAACCCTAAGACAGCTTCTTTACTCCATGAGTTAGCAGAATCTACTTTCCCCTTCTCTGCATGGATCACTCAAGAGACGAATGTCAGTCCTTGGGAAAGAAGTCGCCTTAGCCTTATGAAGAATCCTGGTTTCATGCATATTCAAGGGTTCTGAGGGTACCTATCACAAAGAAGCTATTTGGAAGGCTGACCTTGTCTACTTCCTTCCCATTCCTGATGTGACAGATAGTGTAGTTCAGAAGTCCCCTCCCACACGTGTAAAAAAAACTACTACCAGAATATTCTGTATGAAATCACTGTGAAAAGCCTGTGACCTTTGCTCTGTTGCCAAGAGTCAACAACCCTAATGGAAGATATTCGCCATCAGCAATGTCCATGATTTCACCTTGTGACAGTTTCGCAAGACGACCCTGTGGGCTGGCATTCCGTTTCAGGTCACCAGGTTTCAGCAATCTCTGTGAGAACCTGAAGCAGTTGGGCAAACGTCGGGCGACCTTTGGGGTTCTGGAAAAGAGAAAGAGAGCTGGTCAGCTCAGTGTGTTTCTCACCAGCTGCAGAACTCACAGGCAGAGACCTCAGCCTATGCTGGTTGTGCACACTCTAAGAAAAGTGACTCTCAACTGGCCTACGGCGGCATGATTTGCCTGCGAGTGAGGCGCCTCTGGAAGAGGATAGAGCACTGCACAGATATAATGACGAGAGCTGTACACACTAGTTTCATGTGGCTATGGAAATAAATTGAAAATGAGTATTTCAACTTGGTTCTTCAATCATACTAACCACTTTTCAAATCCTCTGTAGCCAGAAGGGGCTACTGTTTGGATAGAGCACACATAGAATCTTTCTACCACGACAGAAATTTCTTCTGGAAAATGATGGGCCTTTAGAGTGTGAGGTTTCCAATTCAGCATCAGCTGATTACTGTATTGGTCCCCTCTAGTAGGAAGGATTTCACATAGAAAGCAAAAGTCACATCTCCTGGAGAGATTTCATAGATCCTGGAGCACAGTAAACCAAACCTGTGCAAGCAGACATCAGAACACCTTTCCCTGTTTTACTTTTCAATGTGCTTTGGCTGTCTCCCAGAGGAAAGGATATTGTGGAATATTTAACTGGGTAAAGATGTGTTACATTTGTTTACGCTGTGGAATATTACTTTGACTGTGTAAAGGTGTGTTACATTTGTTTATGCTGCATTTACTTAACAATGTGAGGATGTGTGTTTAATTATGAAAAGATGTGTTGCATTTTTTTATGCTGTGGGACAGTACTTTAAGTGTATAAAGGTGTTACATTTGTTTATGCTGCATTTGTTTAACAATGTAAAGATGTGTGTTTAATTATGTAAAGATATGTTGCATCTGTTTCACCTTGCCCGCCTAAGACACCTGGTTGAGCTGAACTCTCCATAGCTAGGCAGAGAAAGGATAGGTCGGACTGGCAGGCAGAGAGAATAAGTAGAAGGAGAAATCTAGGCTGGAAAGAGAGAAGGAGAGAAGAGACTGTGGGAGAAAGAGAGGGTCACACCTGGGGCGAGAAGCCAGGCAGCAACCAGTCAGCCAGACACGAGAAGCAGTCAAAGTAAGATATACAGAAGCAAAGAAAGGGAAAAAGCCCTGAGGCCAAAGGTAGATAAAGAGAAACAGGTTACGTTATAAAAGCTAGCAAGAATTAAGCCTAAGTTAGGCTGAGCATTTACAACTAACAAGAAGTCTCCATGCCATGATTTGGGAGCTGGTTAGTAGCCCAAAAGAAAAAGCCTGGTACACAATGAGATGGCCCTGGTGGCATCTTTAGGAGTTAGATCTTCTCACAGCAAGGGAATGAAAAGGGGGCCAGGTGGAAGACAGTGTGAGCACACACCATGATCCTTGACGAGGATCCAAGAAGAAGTCATTGTGCCTTTCTGAAAGGTTCAAGTTCAATCTGAAAGATTCAAGTGGAATCTCTGGCATGTTTATCAAAGGTAACATTATCTTTTGTGGGGCAGGGTGGTTAAGACAGGATTTCTCTGTGTAGCCCTGGCTGTCAGAACTCGCTCTGTAGACCAGGCTGGCCTCAAACTCACAGAGATCTACTTGCTTCTGCCTCCCCAGTGCTGGGCTTAAAGGCATGCACCACTACCACCCAGCCCACAATCTTTTTTTCTAATCAATAAAGTCACTTTATTCCAATTAACTCACAATCAAAAATACCACATAGCCAGTTTAAGGAAGCCATTCAAATATTTACCTAGCCCCAAACTCTATTCATCTCAGTGAACTTCTATACCATTAGAATGGTCATTCTCAACCCTCAGGACTTTACTTAGGCTATTAGAATTCCACAATTAATTGCATTTTATTCACTTATCTCCTCTCTCTCTCTCTCTCTCTCTCTCTCTCTCACACACACACACACACACAGAGGGAGAACTATGACAGGGTCAAACCTAGAAAAGGTAGCTTTATATTTTATTTTAATGTGTGTGTGTGCATTGAGTAGATTTTCTGACTAATTTGAGACTAAGTTCATTTACTTGTTCCTCTGTAGTATCCTGTTTACCCTTCCTCCACTCTAGCTCATATTCACATAAATAATATATAAAATCGCCCTGCTCTATGCACATGTGTGTGTTTATTAATTCTCCTTGACTTAGGACATGGTTGACACCCAATAAACCCCCTCAAAGTTGAAGATGTCATAAGCTAAAGATGAATTTTATGCGAGTAGTCTGCCAGAAATCACAGTCTACAATGATCATTTGTTCATTCTTGTGATCTGTGGCTGTCTGGGAGATGTGTCCCTTCCCAGCATTCCAATAGAGGCTCATATTTTATATCCTTCACCAAGGAAAAGATCAACATTCAATGCTCAAAATATGGCATTATAAACTTGGAAAATTCTAAGTCAAAGTCACCATAGCCACCATCTGCATGTTCCTAAGCTATTTACATTGTGATGGCAAAGACATTCCTGAGGCAGCTGTTGCTACTAACAGCTTACTTAACAATTCTCTGTCTTTCAAGATTCCTTGTGGGGCGATTAATCATCGCTATTTCCATACACTGGGGATCTTCCTAAGTGAAATACTTCTCTGGAATATGAACAACCCCGCCACTCTTAAAATACTGGCTTTTCTAGTGTTTGTGGATTGGGAATAAAATGATGGGTTATTGTTTGTTGTTGTTTCTTGTCTTTGTGGCATCAGGAGCCCCTCTCCCCAAGCTGTGATTTTTTTTTTTCTGGGTTGAGCCTGCTAACTACAGAGAAAAGCTCTCAAAAACCAGTCTGATGAGAGCAGGAGGGCTGTGTTGAATAGATGCCCAGAAAAGGAGAAAAGGAAACAGAAACCCACCCTTCTGGCTTGATATTTTAATCTTGGCATTTCAACAAAAGCAGCAACTCCTAAGAGATGATTTCCCAAATGGAGGTTCCCAGCACAGTCTGCCTCCGGTTTCTATTCTGGTTTAGTCTCTATCAGGAGTCTTAAGTGTCAGAGAGAGAAGAAACACATTACTTTTCAGCCTTGAAAGTGAAGGCAAGTGAAAGCCAAGAGAAATGAATAAAACTGCTTCCTTCTATTCTGTGGGGAAAGTTCAACAAACCAGAGTCTGTTTGAGTCCACCACCCAGTTCTTCAAGATGATAAATCGTGGAATCCAGAGGCTTTAGAAAAATCCAGTTTCTACAAGAACGTATCTCAGCCTGATAAGGCTCAGAAACTGAGCTCCGGATGAAAAGCCCATTGTGAAAAACAAAATGGACTCGTGACTCTGGGGTGAGAGTTTCATATGAAATGTTGCCCTGCGTCTCAGGGAGGGTCATTACCAAGGAACAAGCAACTCTGACTGCCATGATGCAGTCTCAATAATAAGGGACACCTACCTCATGCCAGCAACTGTACATAATGCCATATATGGACGTGGGGGCCAGGTGAGGGCGATACAGGCGGAACCCGTTAGAAATGGCTTCCACCACTTGCAGGTTGGACTTATTTTCAAAAGGCATTTTTCCTTCTGTAAAAACTTCCCACATTAGAACTCCTGCAAAGAAAACATGCAAAAGCTGGAGTCACTGGGAACCAAAACAACGGTTGGATTCAAATGGCAAGATGTTAATCTGCTCCAGCTTCAGAGTCGTAATTGCCCAGAAGAACGCAGTGGCTGCACATCCCTGAGTTTTAATCCCTAGGAAAACGATGCCTCGCCTTTTGTTTGGTCTCGACATCTCCTATGGTACACAATGCAGCAGCATTGTCGTTGCTAAGTACTGCTCCTGTTGCCTCCCCCTCCTGTCCCCGCCCCCTCAAATCCATAGATCTGGCTGCTCTTCTATCTTTGTGGTCCTCTTCTGCCCGCTGTTGCCAGCAGTCCCCCACGAAAGCCCACAGCCAGCAGATGGCGCACGTCTGCCTCTGTCCATGAAGAGTCTAAACTGACAGGAAGGCCCTACAGAATGCAGCAAAGGCTGGGACCTTATGGCAAAGTTGGTAAAGTTTTTGCTCATAAACAGGAAGCCCTGAAGTCGATACCCAGAACCCATGTGAAAATGCCGGGCTCCCCTGAGAGATGCTGCAGAGGTTAAAAGTACTAATGCTTCTCTTGCACGGAACCCATTTGGTTTCCAGCGCCCACCATAGCAATCCACAGCTGCCAGTGACTGCAGCTCCAGGGGATCCAATGCCTCTGGTCTCTGTTCACTCATACACTCAGGTGCACATGCCCATACACATAACAAAACACAATAAAAATAAATCTTCTTTCCAAATGTCTGGCATGGAATAAATCTCATGTACTCTTGTCATCCAAGTCAGGGGATGGTTAAGAAGGGTAGAAACAAACAGATTCCAGGGACTCACTGACCACCAGTCTAGTCTAATTAGTGAGCTCCAAGCCAATGTGAGACCACCTCAAATGAGGTGGGTGGCATTCTTTTTTATGACAATTTATTTAACTTTGTTTTATGTGCATTGGTGTGAAGGTGTCAGATCCCCAGAACTTGAGTTACAGACGGTTGTGAGCTGGGAATTGAAGCCGGGTCCTCTGGAAGAGCAGCCAGTGTGCTTAATGGTTGAGCCATCTCCCCGGCCCTGGTGGATGGCATTCTTAAAAATGATACTCTGGCCTCCACAGTGTGTGTGTGTGTGTATGTGTGTGTGTGTGTGTGTGTGTAAAACAAAAAGAAGAAATTCACTAGCTCACTAGTTCATTACCCAGGGAGAAGGAAACGTGAGCCTGAGTGAGTTCCAATTGCTTTGCAGCAACCGGAGCAGGTTCCTTGTCTTACTATCTACCAGGTCACTAACATACTCACAGCCCCTCCCCAGCAAAGCTGAAACCCTCACCTGCTGGGGGACCAAGCCAGTAGACAGCTAACAAGGTCAACGATACAAGTTTAACCTTATCATGCTGAATATACTCACACTTGTGAGGATAAGGACATCTCTCAGGCTCACACACTTGTGAGGACAAGGGCATCCCTCTAAACCTGAAAGCCACCTAGGAAGACCTGGATGAAAGCTAAAACTTGTGCTCATCACTTGCCATGGTTGGAAAATCAACTCAGATGAACAAGCTGCATTAGGCACAGGTCTACAGTGTCTCTATCTCGGTGGAGAATGTTAGTGAATATGAACATCAAGCCAAGGTGCAAATCCCACAAAACTTGAAAGTACAAAGTGAAGGTGGTAAGCTGTTGTTTTCTTAGATCTAGATGTTGAGCTCAAATTGTCAAGTTGGAAAACAATCAAGCCACCGAATAAACAATGGAACTTATTAAACACACTGGAAACTCGGTGATGATGTAGATCGTTTCCTTCAAACCTTTGTGAAATGGGAGCATTGACTGCATTTGCCTGCTAGGCCAGCAGACTCCTTGCTATGGCTTCATGGCAACAGCTCTCTAGGGTAGGAAAGATCCAGAGAATACAGCAGTGTGAGGGGGTGCATGAATCCAGTTGCCAAAGAAGTTACAAGAAAGCTTTTAGGTTTATTTATCATTTATACTGTGTTCTGCCTGCATGTGCACTTGCCCTCCAGCAGAGGGTATCAGATCTCATTATAGATCTCATTATAGATGGTTGTGAGCCACCAAGTGGTTGCTGGAAATTGAACTCAGAACCTCAGGAAGAGTAGCCAGTGTTCTTAACCTCTGAGCCATTTCTCCAGCTCACAACAAGGCTTTTAAAGAATGCTACATCATGTCAAACAAGCACACAAGCAAGAGTTGAAAAGAAAAGGCAACCACTGTATTAAATCCAGAAACAACACACATACTCACCAAATGACCAGACATCGGATTTGCTACTGTACTTGTTAAAATGAAACACTTCAGGTGGGGACCACTTGACTGGGAACTTAGCTCCTGAGGAACTGATGTATTCATCATCCAAAACGTACCTGCCATTGTGGGATTCAAGTACACTGTATTAACGCCCACCAAGGTCTAACTACTTCAAATACTTCTGCCTGCTCTGACCAGCTGAAACCCAGTGTTTTCACCTAGAAAGGGTCTGTGCACCATGTCATCCTGAGACGGAAAGGGTCTGTGCACCATCTTGACGGAAAGGGTCTGTGCACCATGTCATTCTGACGGCAGGCGGTAAAGTGCCCCTTTATTTGTTTTCCTCCTCTAGAACCATGTCTCCTTGATTTCATTTTCATTGGGTCTCTGAAAACTATAGATCTATAGTTCCCAAAACTTGGGAAGCCCTTATGTTCATTAAGGTCCAGCCTTAATTCTGCAAAGAAACAGGCCTGTGCTCTAGCAACGAGGGTAACGAAAGGAAATAAATGGTAAGTGAAAGGCCACTTGTATAGTGAAAGATGGATTCAGAATTGGATGCCTTATCTTCTTTCATGTACTTATTTTTGCATGTGTGTGCCACAAAAATGGAGGAAACAACAGTGTGTCATCATAATACTTCTGATGTGAAGTATATTATAATGTATATTTTGTACCAATTAGGAACAACTGAAACTCTGCCCGTATATTCCTTTTCATTTCACCTTAAACCCTCTTCTGTAGAGACTGCATAAAATGAGGCTGAAGAGAAGCTCAGTGGTTAAAATCTCTGGCTGCTCTCCCAGAGGACCCACGTTCCGTTCCCAGCACCCACATAGTGGCTCACAACTGTCTGTTAACCCCAGTTTCAGGGAATCTAGTGCCCTCTTCTGACCTCTACAGGCATTGCATGCACACAAACAAACACACACACACACACACACACACACACACACACAAAATGATTTTTTTTAAATGTAAGCTTCCCTCTTACAAGTGGGCAAAGCAGATAGAGACACCACATACCTCGTCATCCCAAAGTCTGAGATCTTTATCACACAGGTAGAGCTGACCAAACAGTTCCGTGCCGCCTGGAGAAAGAAGAGAAGCATTGAAGTTGGACCATGGTCTTTCTTTGGAAGATTTCCACATTCATTTCCTTACTTTATTTCGGCTCCACAGTACTTCTCTGCATGAGCAGCCACACGAATTTCAAGGTGACACCCATTACTGATGTACCTAACTCAATGCTCTACTTGGATGCCATACATTTTAATGATTCTTCAACATCGTAAAAAGGTAAGATTGAATGTTATCAACCATTTTTAAATTTTAACCGTTTTCAACAAGTATCCTCGATAAATATGAGGGTTAGTTTAATCCAGCAGATGACAGACTAAGTACATGACGTGAAACGCCTTAACTTTTATTTTTTCACTTACATGATGAAAAGCTAGCTTATTTGTGCTGGGTACCAGGGAATGTGCAGGGAGGATGGCTGAACAATGATCAGCTTCTATGGTGGCTACAGCGCTGTTGAGCCCTGGTAAGATGGGCATTGCTTTGTGTATTTGCACCCACTGATTCATGTAGCCGTCCCGGCAGACCCACATGAAGGAGGTGACCTGTAGAGAACCACGCTCCTACTTAACTACGTCTCTCAGGATCACGAAGCTAGTCAACACAGGAAGAAAGCCCCCAAGCCAGACTGGGGTGACTCACAAGCTGAAGTGCATATTGATGCCTCCTTGTCAATCTCAGAGGCCCTGATTCAGCTGGCCTGGTTGGGTTTTGAAGATTTTTCTCAAATCTCTCAGGCGATTCACACACACAGAAAAGTTGAAGTGTAGGAACCTTTGCTCTATAGTGTTCTTAAAACCATGCCACGTCTTGGGAGTCTAGGCTTGGATCTCAGGGTGTTCGGGGTGCAGTATTCATGTAGAAATGTAAGAAATTGAAGCCACACCCATAGAGTCTCACCAATGTGACTGTCCAAATGTGAGCTGAACAAGGGTGACACCAATGGATGTCAAAGTGGATGACAGAAAGCCCATGACCCTCTACAAACGAAGAACTGTAGGCAAATGAGAAATGCTGGGACAGGGAGAGGTGGTCTTTCCCAGTGAAAAACACTCCAATTGGTTATTCAGTGCCAAACGGTCAGCTTTAAAAATATGCAAACAAACAACATTATTGTTTTTTAACAGTTTCTTCCAAGATTGAAATATTCTACCCTGCAGGAAGTTCCTTAGGCAGGAAGGTAAACAACTCAAAGTAGTTTTAGGAAGTCCCTGAAACTGACCAGATTCAGTTGGCCCCTCCCTGGCAGAGTGAAAAATTAAAGCTGAGGATCCCTCAGAGTCAAAGATGGGCTGCAAAGAAGACTCTCAGAAGAAAGTTCTGTAAGTAACCTCCCAAAAACTCATTGGTTCACCAGGTTGGAATCTGGTGGTATCCAAACTCTGGTCTGTCTTGAGTTCTCTGTCTGGAGTGAGTAGACACATGTGTAACATCTCCCCGGGAAAAGTTTTGTCACACAACAATTATATGGACCAAGCAGGTTATATCTAGGAAGATATATGTGTATATACATATACATGTATACATGCAATAGCAATTAATGAAAAGAGTGGCACATAGGAGGGCTTGGAGAGAGGAAAGGGAATGGAGAAACTCTGTGGCTATATTATAATCTCAAAATAAAAAACAATAAAAAGAAATATAAGTAGCTAGTGTATGACAGTGTAAATAATAAAAGCCATGAGTGCTCTGAATTGAAGGCTAATCTTGCCTTTACCCATGGTGCTCTGGAATTAGTGTAACTATACCTGCAGCCCTACCCCTAGACCTTCCTGTCTCAAGGATGAGGGCTGTAATAAAATCAGTCTGGGAGTGAGAGCCCAAAGCACAGGGTTATTTCTAAGAGACTGCATCAGGAATCTGCATATAATTCTTAAATTCTCCGTGGAGTTAAATTTTATATTTCTAAATGAAACACAGAAGGACAAGGAGAGAGTAGTGTGAGTTCCCTGAAGCAATGTGCAGTGGGCTGGACGTGTTACTCGGGTGCAGAAGCAAGGACACACAGCAGGCCACTTGCATTTAGTCTGGGGTAAGAGAGTCCTTTTAAGTAGACATGCTCCCAGCATTACCCAGCTGAATGACTGGACATTTCTAGTCTCCATCATGAATGTGTACAATACTCCCGCAGTACTGTCACAAGCAAGCCATCTGTACCTGGGGCACCTTCACCCCTGGGCAAGATTCACAGGGTCCACTTCTTCCCAGCTGTACCTTCAGGACCTAGATTGCTCAGCATATATGAGACATTGGGGACAAGAGTGACAACTGGAGTTTGACACTGGTTAAAGGAAGAAGGGTGAAAGGAAGAAAAAGAAAGAAGGGAATGAGGAAGAGAAAATAGGAAAAAAATCATTGTAGTTAATTGCTTCACTATGTAGTTAATTAGTGAAAGGCATTTTGGAGTAACTTCCTACTTGGTTACACATTAATGGGCAATTAAAAATAAAATTACAGGTTGAAGGATGTGACTCGGCAATAGAGCACAGACTCAACATGTGCCAGGCCTTGGTTTTAATCCCCAGCACTGCAAAATAAATAGGAAAATCAATTAACCTTTCCCAATTAAATGCATGAACTAAAAAATGCTCTGAAATGAAGCCAAAGGCACATTCTTCCAAGTACCAGGAGAGACCCCCATGTCCTTCCGAATCCAGGTGCACGGCGTAAGGAGACTCACCAGATCCCTGTGAATGTAGCAGTTCCTCTCCAGGTACTCCATCCCTTCACATATGTCCTGGCACACACTTAAGAGCAGCGGCTTCTGCAGCTTGCCTTTTCTCTCTCTCAGGTAGTTAAGCAGGCAGCCGTTTTCCATGAACTCTGTCACTATGTAGAGGGGCTTCTGCTGTATGCACACCCCATAAAGCTGGACCAGCCTCGAGTGGGACAGCTTCCTGTAGGAGAAAAACGCACCAGGGAGCTGGAGTCTGCTGCGCTCAGAACAGCAGCGTGTCGTTTCTGTATGTGAGCTATGATCAGCATCAAGCCCACCACCAGGAAGACCCCGCTTTTTTTTTTTCTACTTCTTGCACTGAGAATGCAGGCTCAGGAGTTTGTGCAGCGCTTCCAAAGCCATCGCTGTCAAATGCTGCGTGCCCCACATCCGGCCTGCAGCACTCTCCTTCCTGTCTTGTCATCGTTCGCATCCTCATTATTGATTTTCCCCAGCCCAGGTTCTCAAGACTTTGACTCCTAGTCATCTCTACTGTAGCCTTTACATGGAAAATTCCAGGCAAGCAGTGGGGAAGAAGGAATGATTGATGGTCATAGGACAGCGAGTGGGATTCTAAATTGTAAAGCTATTTCAAAATAAATGTTTAGATGCAGCTGGAGACTAAAAATAGACTTGCCAGCATGAAACCATATATTGTGAATTTGGTAATCACACCGAGTTTACGTTTCCCATTGAAATATACTCATATTTTTAAAAAAGACTTATTTAGTTTTATTTTGTGTGAATAGGTGTTTTGTCTGCACATATAAGTACGTGCGCCATGTGCATGCAGCACCCACAGAGGGCTTTGGATCTGCGGAACTGGAGTCAACAAATAGTTGTTAAACTGCCATGCAGCTCCCGGGGACTTTGCAAGAGCAGCTGATACCCACGACAGCTAAGCCCTCTCCTCAGCCCTATTGCTTACATTTTTAAAAAAGCAGTCTAGGCTTCTCCCCACAACCTGTGAAATATATCATTCAATGTCTAAATGCCTTTTAGGTCATCTGGGGTCACCATGAAAAAGAAAATCCAATTAATGTTTGCAGTTTTAAAAGATGTATCAGCAATAATTGTTGGTCAGAAATATTGTGAAAAGTTGAAAAGTACCTTAGAAATGCTTTTCTTTTCAGTGTGTGTGTGTGTGTATGTGTGTGTGTGTGTGTGAGAGAGAGAGAGAGAGACAGAGAGAGAGAGAGAGAGAGAGAGATGATATGGGTATATATTAGACACACTTTGTCTGATTTTCTTCAAGTCCAAAAATCATACTTTCAGTTAGGAATGTGCTTTTCATACATGCAGAATAATGTCAGGAAAGCAAGTCTCAGAATGATATACTTCCATGCCATCAGAAACCCAAGACCAGGGATACACAGAACCACTTGAGAACTGAAACATTAGCGTTTGCTTATGAGGGCAAATGACAACATGTATCTGAAATAAGGCAAACATCTACTAGAAAAAGCAAAAGCAAGTAAACCTTCATATGTGGTTCGATTGAACAAACAGAACAAAACCTTCCCACAGGCAGAGAACTATGCAAGCAGAAATGTGCGTTCCTGCTTCCCGTAATACTAGTTTCTCCCCAGTTAGAGAAATGTTGTGACTCACTGCATGACAATTGGGAGACGTATTAAAAAATTTTTTTAAGTATTTTCAAAACTTCTCCAACCATCTCCTGTTATCCTTTCCTAACTCTTCCTGTTCCCTTGGCAACAGATCAAGTTTCATGGTTCTCAATTTCATCTCTGGGAACCATTCTCAAATTCATGTCCACCAGTTTTACCTTTCTCCTGAACTCTAGCCTCATGCATTTACCTGACTACTTAGTCATTGTTGATCTTCTAATAGGCTTCTCAAATTCAACACCACATACACACACACACACACACACACACACACACACACAGAGAGAGAGAGAGAGAGAGAGAGAGAGAGAGAGAGAGAGAGAGAGAGAGAGAGAGAGAGAGAGAGAGAGAGAGAGAGAGAGAGAGAGAGAGAGAGAGAGAGAGACCTGGAGCTCCCTGCACAGCTATAGGTCAACTCCACTTGAGAAAAGTCTCTTCCTGGCATTTTCTTCTTGTTTTTATAGCCTGTGGAGGGGCTTGTGAGTCTTACAGATTCCTGAACTCCCACATCATGTAAGTTTTATCAGCTTCCTGAGTCTTCTGAGTTGGGGGGGGCAGCATTCCAGCTTGAAGAAAATATTTTCACAAAAGTCTAATTCATGAGTTAGGCACCAGGGTCACCTCTTTCAAGAAGCTCCTCACCTCATGGTTAGAAGAGATCCTGACATTTTTTTTAATTATGAGTTACATGAGTCCTGTTTATTCTTTTCATATTGTGTCACCTTAATCCATACACACACTGCTACCCTTTTGCCCATCAGATGCAGAACTCCCTGATCGGACGGTATAGGTCAGCAAACAGGTGTTTCAGGTATGTTGTAATGACAACAACAATCACGGAGAAGCTGATGTCCCTGGAAAATTGTGTTTATCATAATTCCATCCAGATTCCTTCTTGTAAATGAATAGGAAGGATATTTTGGTAGCACAGGTGGCATATGAGCTTGAAAACTCTGAGTCATAACTGCTCTGTCTTCCCTGGAGAATGGTTCTAACTAATCACTTCCGGTTACTATCTAGTCTCTGGTCATTTCTTTCCCTTTGGGGCCTGCAAGTTTGGGACAAAACTCCATTGCTCTAGACAGTAGCACAGTTGAAATGAGAACACGTGGGGTTTTGGTTGTTTTGTTTTGTTTTTTCCTCTGTTACATTAGTAGTCTTCCAAATAAATATTGACCAAATGTGTATAGAATGTTGGTTTGAACTATCCTGGTCTAAGCTCAGATTATGGCACTTACTCAGCACCTATCAATGAGCTTAAAATAATATACTTTCCTTGTCTTTCCCACTAATCATTTCATCCAATCGCACCTTGATCCAGTGCCATATGTACTGTTATTCCCAATTTTATAAGCAAAGACTTCGGGGACTAGAAAGTGACATAGTTCACACACGTCACACAGAGGTTAAATAATTAGCGTGGGTAGAGTTGTGACACAGTTGCAAGTGTGTCTGAACCAAAGTCCAGGTTCTGTCCAAGACCTTGAAGTGTTGGGCCCTGTTTGTGTGGGGTAGGCAAGCCCCAGCGGTGCTGGGCCATGTTATGTGGGGTGGGCAAGCATCCCCGCGTCATGGTCCCCCACCCCCACCCCAGGGGGGGCAGATGGTGTTTATGTGGGCAGGGCTCACACTTACATCATCACTTTGGCTTCTTCAATGAAATCCTCTTCAGACATGAAACCTTCATTGATGGCCTTGATGGCGACCCGGACATGGGCTCTCCATTCTCCTAAGTGGACCACCCCAAACTGACCACTTCCAATCTCCTTGACAAAAGCCAACTCAGACGGGTCTATCTCCCACTTCTCTGGAAAGGCAAATGACTCACATTACAAAAGAGGAGAGAATGCCTTTTTTTTTTTTTTTGGCAAAGAAAACATTTAGGAATTATCTAGTCATAGCCCCTTGCATTACACAGACGTTAAAGACATTGTGGCTTTAATGTGTAATTCAGGACATCAATGGTCAAGAGTCACCTGCTTGAAGACAGGAATATATAAACAAATTGTGACTACAAAAACATTGTACTAAACATATCGGTGTACTTTGCTAAACAAAACTAAGTCTGGTTTAAATGGTGTTAAATGTTTAAATGTATAAGTCACAGGAAGTTGGTGTTGCTTCCTCTTCCTTCTTCAGTTCTGTCCATTGTTCTCACTGCTAAAGAGCCTCCCTGCCTCCTGTATCCTCTCCTGAGGGAAGGCGTCATCTACTATGCATGAACATTGCCAGAGTGCTAACCAACATACATACATACATACATACATACATGTACCATATGTGTTTCAGTACATGTCTCATTTCTCATAAGGAGGAGGAAGAGGAGGAAAAAACTTTTCAAAATCATACCCTTGAAACTGACAAAGCTTTGCTTTTTAGCACCTACTTTTTATACAGCAACACTACCATCTGCTGGAACGCCGGGGTAATGCACCTAGCAGAATTCTTAGGGGTGATAAGCCCCCTACTACCATTGGTGGGTAATAGTCATCAACCCAGTAGTGAAATGCTGTTGTGAAAGTAGCATGACAAAACAGATTTACAGCCTTGACAATGGCATAGAATTGCTTGATAAAATATGATCCCAGAGGGAAATATTAATCAATTGCGACTCAATTTTTTTGTCTGTTTGTCTGGAGAGATGACTCAGTGGTTAACAGCACTTCCTGCTCTTGCAGTGAACTAGAGTTCAATTTCCAGCACCCACACGATGGTTCAAAACCTTTCTTAGCTCCAGTTCAAGGGGACCTCTTCTGGCCTCCTCAGGAAACAGCCACGAATGAAATGCACTTACATATATGTAGACAAAACACTCATACTTGGAAAATAAAGATAAATCTTTAGAAGAAAGAAAGAATAAATCAATCACCAGTGAGTGGTAGTGCAGGCCTTTAATCCCAGCACTTGGAAGGCAGAGGCAGGTGGATCTTGGTGAATTCAAGGCCAACCTGGTTCACAGAACAAGTTCCAGGACAGTTAAGGCTACACAGAGAAGCCCTGTCTCAAAAAGACAAGGAAAAAAACCAGAAAGACAAAGAATAAATCAATCATAAAAAGCATAAAATCTGATTTAAGGGTAAAGATGATGAATATTTGTTCATTAAAGAGACTATTAAAAGGTGGCCAAAATAATTAGTCATGAGGGATCAAAAGTGGCCCATTGTACATTTACCAGACTGGCTGAAGTGTTAAAAAGAAATACTACATATTGGCAAGGGTAAAAGAGTGGATCTGGCATTCTTAGGTAGTATGGACTTTGGAATAAACTTTTTGGAAAGTTGGTTCTGCCTAGTAAATCTCAAATTGTACATAGCCTATGGCCAACAAAACTACTCTAAAGTATACACACAGTGGAGCATAAATGGGCATTTGTCATCTAAACACAAATAAGAACTTTTATAACAATAGTATTTGTAAGAACCCTAATGGCTTTGTGAAAAAAGGTAGTAATCCTACCATTGTAGCACTATGTCACAATGAAAATGAGTCAGCCACACCCAATGCCATAGATGAAATTCAAAGATGTAGTGAGAACAGGAAGAGGTCAGACACAAGCATGCGCAGTTTCTCATTCTATTAGCTGAAGTACTCAAAACTTGGTAAAAATATATTATGGGATAGTTGTGGCCTATGTCTCAATCTCAAAAAGTTAACTTTTTCTAAGAAATTAAAGAGCATGATTTTCAGGCCAGGCAGTGGTAGTGCACTTTTTTAACCCTAGCACTTGGAAAACAGAGGCAGGAGGATCTCTGTGAGTTCGAGGCCAGCCTGGTCTACAAAGTGAGTTCGAGGACAGCCAGGACTGTTACATAGAGAAGCGGTGTAACAACAACAAAAAAAGGAACATAATATTCAACCAAATTGCTAATTCTATAAGTCCATACATATAGAAATAACACCTTCCAACTTACTTAAACAGAGACCCTGAAGCATAGTCATTTATACACTATGTCATTGTTTTTTTTTCCAGTATAATCTGAGTCCTACTAAAGACAGAAATCAAGGAGACAAACTTTTCAACAAACCAGAAAACAAGGTTCGCTGGTTCACATTTATCCTCCCAGACTTGAATATGTCACACTTGCTAGAGAGTGACTTTTGGACAAAGGTGAAGTGGAGACGGCCAACAGCTCTTTCTGATAGGGTCTCTTGGAAAGCGAGCATTTCCCAGCCACTCTTGTAGCCGGAAAACAACAGCCTCAATCCAGAGAATAGAAGTTATTTACCAAAATGGGAAAGATGACAGCTCTTCATAAGGTATAGTGAATTATGAAATAAACCAAAACATTGCTACTGAGTTCAAATTCCCCTAGGGGATGGATTATTTAAACACCCCCAGCAAGGAATTTAAAATTTTAAAAGAAACATATGTAGGTAGACACTTCAATGAGCTGAGAATTTTAGGAATCTGTGGGGTGGTTCCTGGATGGGTAGACGGACAGACGGATGGATGTTTTCCCTCAGCAAATGTGCATACTTTACCATAGCTAAAACCAGCGGTGGCTGGTAAGCAGCTGCCCAGAAGCCCAACTGGGTATCGGAGACGAGACATGAGACCTAAGGAGAAAGAAAACATGAGCATATCAAGGCTCGTTACTAGTTACAGAAGGAAGAACTAAGTATAGTAAAATATAGTACTTGTCTTTAAATAATGAAGCAAAGGGCTGGAGAGATGGCTCAGCCGTTAAAGGCTAGGCTCACAACCAAAAATATAAATAATGAAGCAGAACAATGCTACGGGTCATTATAATTTTCTATTTTCCACTTGAAAACATTCCATTCATAGTGTATACTCACTGTACACAATCTGGAGACTCTAAGTTAACAAAAAATTCTCTCACAAAAATCTCAGTATACACAGATGAATTGTTAGCACTTGGGTGAAAAACTTGGCAAAACTATTTGAATAATTGGAAATGTGTATGAATTGAATACATTATGCAAAATATCAATGCTTTATTGTAAACTTTCATACTAAGCATGTAGTTTATACATACTGACAACTATAAGTAGGCCCTAAAAATTTCTGAGATCTCACTATTACTATATGCTATATTTTCTTGAACATGGATTTGTATGCATTCTCTCAAAATTACCTCTTATAAAATGGGATTCTTGATCAAATTGTTCCCAAAAGTGCTAGAAAAATTCACTTAACCATCAAATTGAACACCTTTTGTGGGATTTGTTGTTGTTGTTGTTCTATTTTGAATTTGTTTTGTTTGAAGGTAGCATAGTAGAATGAGTAAGACTTTATTTGACTAGGTTAACGTGAAGAATTCTAGACAATCAATTTCAATTTATCAATAAATATTAATTATGTGTTTCTTCAGTCACTGCTCATTGACAATCTGTTTGCATCATGTTCTATCTTGACATTAAGTGTTGAATGAGGCACTGATGGCTTCTGCTCTCACAGACCCCACTTTGTAGCAGGGTTGGGAAACAAACAGTGTGTGTACTCACAAGACAGAGTGGATACAATGTATTGCTCTGAGAAGAGGTGATCCAGGAAGGCGTTTCCAAGGAGATCATAGGAACAATGACCCTGACCCACCCAGAGCCATTCCCGAAGATCAGTGGAAGAAGCCCAGGCCAATGAATAGTGTGTGCAAAGACTGGGCAGCAAAGACAAGCCCGGTCAGTAGAAAACCAGAAATACAGGACTCTCTTCAGGTAAATCCCCAAGACCTCAACAGACCCAAAGACAACTGAGATGAATCTGCCTACAGGAAGCTCTCCCTCAGTGAGGAAACACAGGGAGAGACAGGCCATCCTAATGTAAGTGATAAAGATGAGCACAGGTCATCCTAATGTAAGTGATGAAGATGAGCACAGGTCATCCTAATGTAAGTGATGAAGATGACACAGGCTATCCTAATGTAAGTGATGAAGATGAGCACAGACCATCCTAATGTAAGTGATGAAGATGGCACAGGCTATCCTAATGTAAGTGATGAAGATGAGCACAGACCATCGTAATGTAAGTGATGAAGATGGCACAGGCTATCCTAATGTAAGTGATGAAGATGAGCACAGGCTAGCAGGGACACAGGTCAAGAACACCAAGCGCATGGGTTTGCATGAAGGTGGCTACTTAACAAAGAACAGGAGGTAGGAGGGAAAAAAGTTATATTCAAGAAGTATATATTATCCCGGTTACGATGGGTCTTATGAGGCCTGTCAGAGAGCGCTGCATTTTACAGCAAAGGGAAGGAGGAAGAGATGGCGTGAAGGAAATGGGGTGTCAGTCTCAAACACGAAAGTGAAATCTTCCTATTTCCATTTTTGCTAGATCACTGGCATTGAAGTAGGTTGAAGGGAAATGAACTTTGGAGACAAAGCATTAAGAAGCTGCTGGAAATTGTTCACGGGGTAATGATTAATTAGGGCAGTCCTGATACTAGGGAGAGACAGGGATCTAAATGAGCATATTTAGGATGTGAAATTGATTACATTTGCGACTTAGCCAAGGGTATTTATGTGGTGAACAGTTTATCATTCCTAACCCTTAATGTTGTCACATCCTGGTCTTTCATTATTTTGTAACCACATCACATAATACCCTTTCTTAAGTGTTTCTTTAAAGGAAGGAGAAAGAGGAAGGGCTGTCGAGAAAGCAAACTCAGAACTAACCCGCTGATGTAGGGGGGCGTGGAGGGATGGATTGCATCTCCAGTCTGATCCTGGACCTCCAGGCCTCTCCCCTACACCTCTCTCTTATCAAGCTGCTTCTGATCCTTGGAAATGCACATGGATTCATCCCCTAAGTGGAGACATATATCCTAGGATTTGTTCTTGATAGGCAAAACCAGTGTCAAGGAAAGTATTCTCTTTCCAAAAGAGTTTTTGGTTTTGGTCAACTAACTTTTCATGAATGGAATATTCAAAAGAAATACATGAGAAAAAGGTAGAATAAGTTACAGTGGGTTGGTCCCAAGTTCTGTAATGCTGATAAAAGCCTTTGCCTCTGGCTCCAAGTGGCCTGGCCCAGACTGTCTGCGGTTTGAAGATCAGAGATATGCCTGTGGTTGTGACAGAACTTTCTGAGATCCCTTATCCTTCCAGAAATGATAGGTTTGTTGTAAAGAGAGATGGGAAAACAATAGGTAAGGAGAGGGTTCAGCATTTTGCTATATTTAGGTCAAAGTATAACTGTGAAAGCCTGGGTTCTGCATAATTTTGCATTTTCTCAAAACAAGAAAGAATAGAGGATGGGAGGCTTAAAGATCATTTCCTGTTATTTGTGGGAGCAAAGGAAAGGAGCCTTGTCATTTTGGGACTTGAAACTCTATTACATTTAACCCTATTTAATCTTCCAGAATACATACATAACTAAATGCCCTTGGCTCCTCTGTCATCCACTCTCTTTCTAATCTGATGTAAATCAAAAACTGCAACTCAAGTCTTGCTCCTTGACCAGAAAAAAAAAATGATGAAAACAACCATCGCTCAAGAAAGATTGTATTTCAAGCCCTTAGGCTGAAGGTATAGGGTGTTTTGCTGTTGTTGAACATCTAAGACCATGCATGCCTTCCCTGTCAAGGAACTGGTCCCCAGTCCTTCTCACCAGACCTGACTCCTCACTGCTGTGGAATAATACAATGTGAAGATGCTTTGCTCCCATTGGTTTAAGAAAGAGCCAAATGGCCAATCGCTAGGCAGAAAGAGGTTAGACAGGGGAGCCAGACAGGGAATATTGGGAAGAAGGAAGGCAGATTCTCCAGGCAGATGCAGAGGAAGCAAGAGATGAACATGCCTAGCTGAAATAATGTACCGCCCTGGCATCGAGCATAGATAAGAAATATGGGTTAATTTAAGTTGAAAGAGGTAGTTAGTAAAAAGCCTAAGCTATTGACCGAACTTTTTTTTTTTTTTTTTTTTTTTTTTTTTGGTTTTTACGAGACAGGGTTTCTCTGTATTGTTTTGGAGGCTATCGGTCCAGCCCGGCCTCGAATTCACAGAGATCCGCCTGCCTCTGCCTCCGGAGTGCTGGGATTAAAGGCGTGCGCCACCACCACCCGGCTTGACCGAGCTTTTATAACTATTGATATGTTTCTGTGTGGTTGTTTGGGGAGCCCGTGGTCCCAACAATAAACTCCACCTACACCTCACTTACCAGCTGCATTGTACTGGTGATACTGGATCAGCTCGGGAACCGAGGAAAAGAGGTGTCTTTCAGCGACATACCATTGTCCTGAGTCATTCTTTTTAATCTGATAATGTTTTATTGAAGACTGTGTACCTCTGTAATCAATAAAATATCAGTTGCCAGAGAAACAAAAGGCTGCTTCAGAATTAAGTCAGTGTGTTAAGCAAGGGGACCCCAGTGCTCAAGCTCTCTTCCTGGCGGCACTACGCACCTATGAGAGGACAGATGAGCTCAACAAATGCCTGACCACCCCAGGAAAATGCCTCAAATGTCTTACTGGTACCACATATTCAACATATCTTTAGAGGGTAAGCCCCATGAACAAAAAAAGTGATGTTCTTTACAAAGCACACATAAACATTTCCTGAATGTTAAATGTTGACTAAACAAATGAGAAATTCCATCGTGAAGGATTGGAAAGGTGAGATGAGGAGGGGAAGGTCAGTATAGGGAACGCTGCTAAGCAGGCTAACTGCTTTATGCAACCAGGGCTTCATTATTACACTGCAGACAAGCTGAGGTAGTCACTCCTCAGCCTCTTCCCTCACTAAGGGGAGGAGGGGATGTTCCTGAGGCACTGCCTCTCAGGTACCTCTACCTCACCACAAGTCCCCATAGTCACAGAACACCCTAGGCCTAAAGGCACAGGAAGCTTGGTCCTCTGTGCACAACCCTAGAGGAGACTCGGGGGTCTGAGGAACATGCCAAAGTGTCTGCCACAACTTATCTAACTTGATCAGGAGGGTTGGTTGGGAAAAGGAAGAGAAAGAAAGCAATATAATAGGTTTATCATGTTGCATAACATATTACATGGCATGTAATATGTCAGAGATACAATGTGAACTAGGTAGTTGTTCCAGTTTCTAGGCCAGCAGTCTCCTCCCTAAGCTGAGCCCTTTCTCAAAGTTCCTGTGTGATGGTATCTGCATAAAAGCAAACTGTCCCAAGGATTATCTCTAAAGTAATCAAAATCACAGGTGCTTACCTTCCAGCTCTTGTAAACACAGAAATTGTGTAAGACCCCAAATGTCTCGAATCCCTCACAATAAATGCACCTTCTTTAGCCTGCAAAAACAAAATGCAGTCATTGTACAATTGTATTCCTACTTAGAAAAACAAACCAAGACATCACTAATAAAAACTAAACTTAGATAGCCTTACTATAAGAAACATATAAAAAAATAAGTGACTTCTATATTCTTACTATGGAAGAATGAGATTGCTTTTGCAAGTGCATACTACCTTATCTCTCTCACAGGTTTAGCAATCATATGTCTAAGAGAAGGAAAGTTAGATAAGAAATGTATAAAGTGTGGCTATTTTAAAACATTATCCTTGATTTTTTCCAGGAAAAGTCCTGGTTTTGACAACCTGGCACCCAGCATTTAATGGTTTCTGTTGTATTGTTAGGATAACAGATGAAGATCCTTGATCCACATAAAAACAAACTCTAAGACAGACTGACAAGACTGCATGTTAGAAGTGGAATGAGGCTGGGTGTTGGTGGTGCGTGCCTTTAATCCCAGCACTCGGGAGGCAGAGGCAGGCGGATCTCTGTGAGTTCGAGGCCAGCCTGGTCTACAAAGTGAGTTCCAGGACAGCCTCCAAAGCTACAGAGAAACCCTGTCTCGGAAAAACAAAAACAAAACAAAACAAAAACAAAACAAAACAAAAAAGAAGTGGAATGAAGGATGCACGGAGAAATATTTCTGCAAAGGCAGAGAGTAGGACAAGAGATTGGAGTTCATGAGAGAGAATGCATGTAGGGGATCCTGTTGGGAGTTACAAACTGTTGTAGGATGTGGGAGAGATGAAGAGAGGACATTAGGTCCCTGTGGACATTCTTTAAAGAAACTCCGAGAAAACTGTAAATTGCTTTCCAATCACTTTGACAGAGTGTTTTGTTTGTTATTATACAGCTTTTCTGATTTACTGGATGCGCTTATGTTCCCAAAGGCAGAATGGCAGCAGGATCTCTCACAAACCCATAGACCAGTGGATCTCAACCTAATGCTCCACCCTTTAATATAATTCCTCATGCTGTGATGATCCCCAACCCTGAAATAATTTCATTGCTACTTCATACTGTAATCTTGCTACTGTTACAAATTCCAGTGTGAATATTTGATATGCAGATATCTGATAATCGATCCCCCCTAAGGGGTCCCACCCACAGTTGAGAATCCCTGTCATAGAAGGTTCAAGGTTACACTTGGCAAGTGTGTTACCCCAGCAGCATGGATAGCCCCTCACAGTGCACTTAAGACACTAAACACAGTCTTCTCCCACACTTGCATGAAGACATTAGCCTCAGTCCTCAGCTGAACTCTCTTATAGGCATTGCAAATAACAAAATCCAGCTTTTACTGAATTACTGTGATACACATATGAAAAGGAAACACAAGATGTTAATGGTAAAGATGTGAAAAGAAAAGTTGTGCGTATGCTTATGTGTGTCTGTTATAGCAGGGATGCATATCAGCATATAGAACATGCACATAACAAAATTGTACGTGGAGTGGTCTCTGCATATAAAACTTCAAAGAAGGAAGACCACAAACAGTGTTTTCTGACCACAAAGCAGCAGAACTAGAAATCCCTAATAAGGACCTGAGTACAATACCCTGAGTATCTCCAGATTTTACATTCTCTTTTATCTAACTCAAGGAAACTAAAATATAAATGAGTGGCTGGAGAAATGGCTCAGCAGTTAAGAGCACTCGCTGTTCCAGAGGACCAGAGTTCAGTTCCCAACACCCACGTTGGGTGGCTTACAACCACCTGTAACTCCAGCTACACTAGATATGACACATTCCTCTGACCTCCACAGGCACTGTGCTCATGTGGTACACACACACACACACACACACACACACACACACACACACACACATTAAAATAAAACAAATCCTTTGGATACAAAAATGAAATATCTAAAATAATAAGGAAATACCATTCATGAGTGCCTCTGCTGAATAGTTCCAACACTGCTCAGAATTAAGCCTGTGCTCTTATTATTTTCGTCAGTGCCCTACTGAGAAACTGCTAAGGTAAGATTGTCGGTGGGTGGGCATGTCATAGGGGATTTTCTTGATTGCCTGGATTGATGTGAGCAGTCCATGTCCTGGGCAGGAGGTTCTGGGCTGTATAAAGAAGCTAGGTAAGAATAGTCCTCCAGGCAAACCAGCAAGCAGTATTCCTCCATGGTTTCTGCTCCAAGTTCTTGCTTGACTTATCACCCCGACTTTCTTCAATGACAGACTGGACCTGTACGCTGAAATAAAACATTTCCTTCCCCAAGTTGTGTTTGGTCAGAGTATTTTGTCATAGCAACAGAAAGGTAACTAGAAACAGTCAGTAGACATAAATAAATAAGCATATCTAATCCAACAAATTAGAATAAGGGTTATAAAATAAACCCGGGTGTCTTAATTAGGGTTTTATTACTGTAATGAATAATATATTATGAAGAAAAAGGTTTTATCCCAAGCCATAGTCCATTAAGGGAATCAAGGCAGAAACTCAAACTAAATGAGAACCTACATGGAGGAGTGCTGCTTACTGGCTTGCTCCTCATGCTGTGCTCAGTCTGCCTTCTTATAGAACCCAGGATCACCAGCCCAGGAATAGCACCAGCCAAAATGAGGTGGGCCCTTCCCCATCAATCACTAATTAGGAAAATGTCCTACAGGCTTGCCTACAGCCAGATCTTATAGAGACATTTTCTAAATTGAAGTTCTCTCCTATCAGATGACTTCAGCTTGTTTCAAGTGGACATATAACTAGCCAGCACACCAGCTAAAGTACAAGAAAAAAAGATCAAAGTAGAAGATAACATTATAAAGGTAAAAATATGATACAATCATATTAAGTTCAAAATCTGGTTGGTCAAGGAAAATAACAGATAAGCTAATTAAACTAGTCAATAACTAATTGTGAAAAGTATCAAAAGCCATTCCATAAGATGAATAAATCAATGATCTGTAAAAAAAAACTAAGACTTATTACCTGTCTGTAACAAATTTTAAACTTGAATGCAATGGATACTTAACTAACAAACAAATTACTGAGGTTGAATCCAATATAACTAAAAATCCTAATGGATCCATGGATTAGAACAATGGGTACGATTCCTAAAAGACAGCATTAGAAAGAACCTTGATCACATACTAGAAAACACTAAACATGAAAGGAAAAAATAGTACAGAGGTTGAACTACTCCCGAGCAAAAGAAGAAAAGATAATCTTAAAGATGTAAGTGTGTGAGGTCATTTACTATCAGTGACATACACCCAGCCCAGGCTGCACAAAAGAAAAACCACTGAGTGGCCTCATTTCATCACAAATATTAAAGAAAACGTTAATTAACCGAATCCAGTAGCATCAGAACCCACATGCACCAGAGCCCACTGACTTAGAGTACCTGCGAGTTCTTCCTAATATTGCCTGTACATTCAATACAACCATGGGAAGTTTTGTCTTTGTGTATCATGGTGATTCTGAGAGTGAGGGAAGGTAAAGACACCAGAGAAAGCCTCCGTATTTAAAACAGTTTATGAACAGACAGGCTGGCCAATGATGACAAGTAGGAAATACAGACGTAATCTAAAATAAAAATTTTATCATTATGAATGTGGCAACTAAAGTGACTGCATACCAGAAAGATACTTGGTAAACTTGTAGGAATTCAGTAATCCTCCGCTTACTCATTGCATCAGGAAACATTACGAATGAACCAGAAGAATAAATTTACAAAATAAAACCACTAGCATCAAGAAACATAGGGAGTATTTTCTTGTAACCTTGGAGTACAGAAGGCAATTCTACATTCATACAGTTTATCTAATTTTCCAAAAACTTTGTCTGATAAATTCAAACATATAAAATCCAGCATATCTAGTTCATGCCAGAAAATGGCTGGACAATTGAAAACGTAGAAGAAATATTGCTACATGCCACAGAGGATTAGTTTCCTTAGCTATAACTACGAAGATTCTCTAGATTCTGAGAAATATCAAAACCTAACAGAAAAGCACATAGAGATATGAACAGTTACAACCAAGAAAATCAGGTACGTAAAATGTAACGTATGAAAAATGTTTAACATCTCTAGGCTAAGAGAATACGAATCAAATTCACAGTGAAATGAAGGCCAGAGGAAGGAGCCAAGTGCTCCACTTGATGTGCTGCCTGGAAAGGCTGTGGGAAACAGCTTGTATTTCCAGTGGGTACCTAGACCCCTCACCAAGCCTAAAGAGGCACTTTGAGGTCTATGGAAGTTAGAAATATGCATTCCCTTTGGCCTTGGATTTCCATCTGGAGATTTACTCTACAAAAAGAATCATATAACTGGAAAAAGATATGTGTGAGGAGAGAATTGAAGGCAACATTGTTTTAATAGCAAAAGAGAGTACATCTCACTTACTTTCCACAATGAACAATTTGATTTACAAATTTTGATTGTGGCCGGGAGTTGGTGGCGCACGCCTTTAATCCCAGCACTTGGGAGGCAGAGGCAGGTGGATCTCTGTGAGTTTGAGGCCAGCCTGGTCTACAAGAGCAAGTTCCAGGACAGCCTCCAAAGCCACAGAGAAACCCTGTCTCGGAAAAACCAAAAAAAAAATTTTTTTTGATTGTGGTGGTGTGAAAGAAAATGATCCCCATAGGGAGGTGGGGTTTGTTGGAGGAAGTGTGTTGTGCCCCCGTGGGTGTGGGCTTTTGAAGTTTTCTATGCTCAAACTACTCCCAGGGACACAGACTCCTTCTCTCAGCTCCTTCTCCGGGATCATGTCTGCCTGCATATCACCCACCATGACAATGTACTAAACCCTGAACCATAAGCTAGCCCCATTTAAATGTTTTTCCTTTTAAGAGTCGCACTGGTCATGGTGACTATTCACAGCAGTAGAAACTTTAACTAAGACAGTGATGCATCTAAACTAGAAAATGATATTCAGATATAAAGCCAATGACAAACACACTTGTGTAGGAAGGAAGAGTGGTGTGCAGAAGAGTATGTATAAGGGGCCGAAGAGATGATGGTTCAGTGGGTAAAGGCCTGGCTGCATAAGCATGGGAATCCAGTTTGGATCCGTAGTATCCGTATAAATGTCAGGGACGAGTGGCAGCCTGCTTGTGATCCCAACATCTGGTAGGCAGAAACAGGGAATTTCTGAAACAATCTGGCTGACTTGACTAGACAAATCAGCAGACACTGGGTTCAAGTGAGGGACCCTATCTTAACATATAGAGAACAATCAAGGACAATTCCAGATGTCAACCTCTGGCCTATATACAGTTTTTATTAGGGATATGGCCCCTGGTAGGTTGACCATACTTCAGTGGATGGTTTTACCCCTGTGCATGTATGGGCAATTATACCTAGCAGGTTTTTTTAGGGGATATGGAGTTGGAAGGTAGATATAAGGAGATATCTGGAAGGAGTTGGAAGAAGGGGGAGGTGAATACATTAAAACTGTATTGTATACTTGGATGAAATTCTTAAGTAAATCAAAGTGTAAACTAGCATCTTACTGTTTTATTTCCACGACAAAACGCCATGACCAAGGCAACTTCTAAAAGAAACCATTTAATTTGGGACACATAGTTCCAGAGGGCTAGAGTCCGTGATCAGCCTGGTGGGGAGTAGGGCAGCAGGCAGACAGGCATGGTGCTGGAGCAGTAGCCGAGAGCTCACATCTCAACCACAAGCACAAGGCAGAAAGAGCCAGCTGGGAGTAGTGTGGGCTTTTAAATCTTCAAACTATCTCCCTCCCTGTGACAAACCTCCTCCAACAAGGCCACACCTCCTGATTCTTCCAAACAAGTTCCACCACCAGGGGACCAAGCATTCAAATATATGAACCTATGGGGACCATTCTCATTCAAGCAACCACAACCAGTCAAACTATTCTGCATCAAGTCTTGAAAATACCTATCGATATTAAACCTAGACATCCAGTGTGTGTATGTGTGTGCAAGATGATTTTTACAAGGGAGCATATCACTTCCGTGTTCCAAACCGTAAGAGGCAAGAAGCCCTTTGAATGTTTATGAACACTGAATAGATTTTATATATGCATATAATGAAATATTAAATAATATGGTGGTTCTATATGTACACATATGAATGAATTTTTAAAACAAAGTGTCCATAAAAATCCGTCTTGGATGGTGGATAGTGGATCATACCTATGATCCCAGTACCTGGGAGGTTGAGGCACAAGGACTACCTCAAGTTTGAGTCCAGCCTTGGCTACACAGTGAGACATTGTCTCAAAAATAAGCAAATATCAATGTATATGATATATATTATGCATGTACACAGATGATAAAAACATAAATCAATGGAAAATGAGAACACATCTGTCTTTTGTGACTGCCTTTAGTGAATGGAGGGGAGAAATGATGGCATGGGCTTCAACTGTGTAATTTCAGACCCTTACAGATGTCAGGGCAGCAGAACATAGTGGCATATGCCTTTAATCACAACTTGGGAGCTGGAGGAAGGAATATCACAAATTTCAGATTATTCTTAGGCATTTAGTGAATTTGAGGCCAGCCTGGGGTGCATGAGGTGTTATCTCAAACAAAGGAAAACAAAAAACTGAAAAAAAATCAGGGCCAAATTTTTAAATATTGCATCACTATGGCAGGTGTGTGGGCTGTTCCATAACTCTTGACTCTAGTGTCTTCACCAAGATGAGATGTTTCAACTACAGAATCTCTTGTGCTGGACATAAACAGTCCTGTGATTAGATCATGTAACCCCTATCATCTTGCTTATTGGGAAACTGCTCCCAGCTTTCCTTCCTCTAACTTTCCAGGGTAGAGCTACCAATTTCACTAGCTTTCTCTAGCAAGCAGAGCGAAGCGTGTCTAGGCTACACCCACACCTGAGGCTAAGTCTTGGTTCCCCATCTTCCACATGTCCCCCCATTTTAGAGTGAGTCCTCTCTGCACCCTGGGCCATTGCTGACGTGGATTTTTTAATATGCAAAACTGATTCTCTTTCACGTTTCTGGAGTCCGTGAACATCTGAGGCCAGCACAGAATGACACATTTCCTATCCTAGTTCCGGTTTGACTCTTCATTTCCCCGTAGTTACCGTGCACTGACAGTCGGAAACTTGGACTCTTCACTGTTTTGTCTTGGTTTGACCTAAATCAGTAGTTTTGATCTGAATTTACTATTTTAACCACCAACTCTCCCCTTTGTTCCGGAAGACTAAAGAAACTAATACTGCATAGTTGTCTGCATTTGTATTTTTCAGGAGTGTAGACAGAGGTCACAAGGTAAGAGGCTCTGTTGTGCAAAGGGGTCATATGTCAGTGTTCTCAATCTGTTTGGGTCTAATGACTCTTTCACAGGGGTAACCTAAGACCATCAGAAGATATGGATATTTACATTACAGTTCAAAACAGCAGCCCAATTACAGTTACAAAGTAGCAACAAAAATAGCTTTATGGTTGGGGTTCACCAGGACATGGGGAACTGTATTAAAGGGTCCAAAGCATTAGGAAGGTTGAGAACCACTGTCATGTGGGTAACTCAGATACACACTCCACTGAGAGAATACGTGTTGAATGAGAGTCTGGAGTCAAAATCATTTCAAGAGAAACATATTTCTGAAATTACGATGGCAGTCCATGAAAAGGTGATCTTATGCAAATATGCCCATTTTTGACTTAGAAAAATGTGCAGTGGGAATGAGTTTGTAATGGTGTTTTAAGACTAGAAAGAATACGAATACACCTTTTTGAATGGCTACAACTTCATAATAGACTTCTGAGGATAACTAGAAATGTTCACGGGCTTTTTCTGGACATACTGAATTACCTCTTGTCTCAATAGGCGTTCTGTCTGGTTTCTAGTAATGTTCTTATGGTACCATCTGCAAAAGTAACAAAGAATACATTTTTAATTCTGTGTTAATTTTTCTTCAGGCCAAAAAAATGCTCAAATTATTTCATTTTAAAGCTTTCACTTTAGAATTTAGTTTAGAAAACTATAGCTTAAATTCAGGTAAATAGCAATGTTCTATTATGTTTCCAATTTACCAAGCTCAATACACTTTTTTCTCATTTCAAGTCATTAAATAGTTCATTCTACCATAGCTCAGACCATCCCTTCAATCCCACACAATACTTATATATAATTTTTCGTGATTTAACATCTTATAAAATTCCATGAAAAATATGAAGCTAAGATGTTATCTTCAGGCACTGGAAAGATGGCTCAGCAGTTAAGAGCACTGGCTGCTCTACCAAGAGAGTCAGGCTTTAATTCCCAGCACCCACATGGCAGCTCACAACCCTTTGTATCTCCAGTTCTAGGGGATCTGAGACTCTCACACCAAAGCACATAAAATAAAGGTAAATAAATCTTTCTTCCCCCCAGGAAATTCCCATTTGCATGTTTTTAGAAGTGTTAGATCTCTTTCCAAAGTGAAATCCATCCTGACTTATGTAATTCTCCCTAAGACAACCCCCCCCAATATGGTTGGTACTTAACAGAGTTTATGGACAGGGATAACCAACCACTGATCCGACCCAAATGCTCTCTCTTGCATTTTCACTAAGACACACTGGGATTCTTTCCTTTCTTACACCATCAAGCATTCTTCTACCTTCAACCCCTGTTTCTTTCCATTCAGCACACCGTTAGGTGATTAGACCATCAGAACTACACACAGTAAACATAATTAAATAATATTATGAGGTAAACACGTAGTTCAATATACCATCCTTAAGCAGTAAACATATAGTTAAAGAAAAGAAAGAAGTTCCAACAATAAAGATAGAAAGGTTGAGAAACTTTCAACTTCAAAACAATAAACACATTTACAAAGAGCTCTATTACAGGGAATACTACTTTGTCTCCACAAAGAAAAAGGCAACATTGAACATGAATAGAGTCACCAAGGATGGGCCAGAGGTGGCTAACTGAAAACCCTAAAATAATGTAGCCTCTTCCCCTAACACCTGGTGGTGAGAAAATGACTCAAAATCTGGATGATTAGCTACCTAAGCCACTAATGTAATCAAACTGAAAAAGCAAGCCGTATAGATGAACCACAGACAGTAGGAAGTGATGACAAGGATTTTAGACAAAGTAACTGGTCACTCAAGTAATTAAAGATCACTTAAGACTTTTGAATACATACGATAGTATTAGAGGAGTTTCAGCATGAACCTGAGACTTCTTCCAGAAAGAAGAAATCCCTTCAGAAATGAGGCAGTAGTAAAGACATGGGGACTAACATGGAGAGGTGGTCATCGGTTAGGTGGTAAAATTTGCATAGTAAAAGAAAATAGTGATGGTAGTTCACTAAAGTAAGTTGAAGTTTTTAAAGGCCACGACTATAAAATGATTCTAAAATTGAGAGAACGTCACATAAATTGCACTCTTAAATAATATTTTCCACCTGTTACAGTGTTGGTGTTAACTTTAGTATTTTACATTTGTTCATCAGAGTGATGAATAACAAAAGTGAATGCATTCATTTAAAATATGAATTCAGAATTCATCTATATGGAAATATTGTAAGAATAACTTCAAAGTGGAAGTCTATGATGAAGCCAGGTTCCTTCAGGGACTCTTTTTCTTTCTAAGTAATGAAGAGGTTCAAGGAGGGCGATGTGAGATTGGGAGCAGTGTTTTGGAATTGCATCCATCTAAATCATATGCTAAAAGTTAGAAGGGCTTTTAAAAGCCGAGGTAAGACTATGTCTTGGTTTCATTTTCCACTCCTGAGCTTATTTTGGTTCAGAATTGCATGTTACAACCCATTATCTCTAGATGTTGAGGCAGCAGGAACCACATTGCTGGTCGCGGTGTATCCGCAGTCAGGAGAGAGGGGAAGGAATTAATGCTACATACTATAGCTCTGCTTGCTTTCTCCACTCTTTTGTTCTCAGAGCTCCTTGGGATTTTTAATAAAAATCACTTTACTCCAGTGATTTTACAAATGAGAACACCATATGACTAGACTTGTAGTAGCCATTCTATTGTTGATGATCAACTTGACTACGTCTGGAATTAACTAAAACTGAGAAATGACTGGGCACACCTGTGAGGAATTTTTTTTCTTCACTTAATTAAATCTTTTTGTTTTGTTTTTGGTTTTTTGTTTTGTTTTCTTCCTTTTTTATTTAAGTTAGAAACAAGCTTGCTATACATGTCAATCCCAGCTCCCTCCTCCCAACCCCTCCACCAGGCCCATTCTCTACTCCAGTCCCCAGGTAGGGTGAGGCCCTCCATGGAGGATCTCCAGAGTCTGCCATTCCATCCAGGGCAAGGCCTAGGCCTTCCTCCAAGAGTCCAGGCTGAGAGAGCATCCCTCATTGTGGGATGGGCAGCCAAAATCCATTTGTATGCCAGTGATAAATACTACCCAAGGCACCATAGATTACCTAGGTCCCCTACTGACCCCACATTCAGAGGTTCTGGATCAGTCCCATGCAAATCTTTTGAAGTGGGAAGACCCACTTCTAATGTGAATCTTTCAGGTGGGAAGATTCACCATTAGTAGAGATCTTTTGAAGTGAGAAGCTCCATCTGCTTGCAGCCACGGAAGAAGGAAGCTTGCTCTCTTTGCCTGCTTGCCCTCATTCTCACTGGCAAGTCCATCCCTTCACTCCCTTCACTAGCATTGTAGCCCACTTCTTTGGGACTCCAGCATATACTGAAGACCATCTGAGACCTCCAGCTTCACAGACCTTCCATTGGTAGACAGCCATTGGTGGACCTCCTGGGCCACTTCCTGTAAACCATTCTAATAAATCCCCTAATATAATACATATAGGTGACTCATTCTACAAGTCCTCTTCCGCTAAAGAATCCTGACTAATACACCACACAAATAGTCACTGAGTCCTATGCAGTTAAGGATCTTCTGCCTAGGGAATGGTGACAGCCATACTGGGTGGGTCTTCCCTCACAGCTAAAGGAATCAAAACAATCCCCCATAGATATGCCCACAGGCCAACCTGATTCAGTCAACCCCTCATTGAGACTTTCTTCCCGGTGATCATTGATTGCATCAAGTTGACAATTAAAGCTACCACAGACTGTATCTCCCATATCTAGACACCCTTTACTAAACTAGTATCAAATAGTGTGAATTAAGAGTTGGACATTAAGGTGGACCATTAATTGTAAACCCCACTAAGGCAGGGAAGGCTCTGTGTGTTCTAAATTATATCCCCAGGGTTCAAAATCACTAATATCAGATACATCGCTGGTGTACAGTAACTAAGGCATGTTGATCACCTGTAAAACTAGACAGGGCGGCCAAACAGAAAATGACTTCCCCATTACCTTCACTGTTCATAGAAATAACAATAGTCACTAGACTGTCTTGAAGTTTACTATGTACCACGTGAGGTAGTGTCCCCACTTTTTGGAATATTCAAAGACAGTAGATAGCGTTGCCCACGATCAGAACACTATAGTGATTATGCTAGGATTTGGACTCAGTTGCTCCTGCACTCAGGACCTCCACCTATGGCAGTTCTGTTGCATAGTCATCACAAAAGTGTATGGCGCATACTAAGTGATCAGTAAGTTCTAGTGATTACTTACAACAACTATTATATTTATATTTTAATATACCTGTTTTAAAAGAGACAAAGTTTAATGAGTAGCCATAAGATTTGAATCATTAAAAGGCATGATTTTGAAATGTGTGTAAAACAGAGCCCAAGGAAATTAAATGGAAATTCTGGGGGTTGTTTTTTGTGTGTGTTGGGGGGGGCGGTGTAGTTTTCATTTTATTTATTTATTTTTGCTTTGTTTTGTTTTTGAAGGAGGAGCAGCTTCAAGACGGAGTTTTTCTGTGTAGGCCTGACTGTCCTGGAACTCGTTCTGTAGACCAGGCTGCCCTCAAATTCGCAGAGATCCACCTGCCTCTGCCTTCCAAGTGCAGGAATTAAAGGCCTGAGCCTAACACCAGAGCTGCTGGATTCAAAGGATCCGGTGTCTACAATATAAACGCTTTGAACCAGAGCCTCGGTTTAGTCTAAGCAGAGGAAGCAATGAGCAAATGAGCTACGACTGAGAGAAATGAGAGGAACATTGTGAGAGTCCATTCAGGAACTACCAAGCCGGTAGGTGCTGTGACACTCCTCTGATCTGAAAAATCTGAAGTTGAACAACAATACAAAAAAGTCCTACTTTTTCTAACTACTCTGGGTTGATTTTCATACACATGCGTCTCTACATTAGATTTGCTTTGTTGGTCAGCTTCAGCAGTGAGAACCCATGGAGCAGAATTGAGTGACCATAAGTGGATGTGAAACCATTTCCTAAGAGAGGTGACTCAGTGCCCTGAAGCAGTCAGGTCAACAGAAAGAACATTAATGGCAGAAGAGAGTGAGGACACTTGGTGGTGGAGCTGAAGAGCATGATGGGAAGGAGGAAGAGACAGCCAATGGAGCAGTCTGGGAAAGCCATGTTTGATGTGTCACATGCCCTGTGATCATTTTCATCTATGGTCCAAGAAGGCCTGTACTATTCACCAAAACTTCCAGAACTGGAGTTATTTTAGAGACAGGTGTACTGAATCTTGCCTAAAGTAGGAGCAAGGCCCAGGAGGCTTCTTCCGTTGTGTTTGATGTCTGATCTCAAAGATACTTGATACCACGACTCCTATCACATACTGACACCTTTCAGAAGCATATGCTAATTGCAAGATAAGTACCCAAGGGAGGAGGTGGGTATGAGTTCAAACTCTGCAGACCCTGGCACTTTGTACCTAGAACTTAATCTTACTTGCTTTTTTACCTGAAGGGTGAGGATCTACAATGTCATTGCTCAGATATTTCTATTCCAAAGCTATAATTGTTATCAAAAAAGAGATTTTAAAGCATAAATTTGGTAAGCATACTTAAGGTTCTTCAATATCATTAGCCTACCTATTATCCTCAGGTATACTTCTTAAAAGCATCAAAGCAAGAGCCAACATCTAAAACGGACCCATGTAGACCGTCGGATTCACAATCTGTCATTTGAAAAGTAAATGTTCGGTGTAGGACATGCAGTACAACACATATATCAGTGTTTCTAAAACATAGCCATGCCAAACAAAACAAATACAGGCTTAAGAAGGATTTTCAGAAGCAGCTGTGGTAAGAATTGGAGGTCTCTTATTGCTAAGGCTATCAAATGTGTTACTTTCTTTTTCTTTTACAAAACTGAAAACTGTCTATATATACTTCAAAGTTCCCAGCAAGTCCCTGATTTTCAAAGGGTAATCACAGTGCAGACTTGGTAGGGGGGACTTACTCATATATTTCTAAATTGGTGACTCTATTTTCGGTCACGTAGTTGCTTGGGATTAAGCCTTCATTCCTACAAAACAAAACAAAACTCAAGATGGGAGGCACGTTTATAACATTACCATGACTATAATTACTTAAACCCCAAAGAAGTAGGGGGAAATCAAAAACATTTTACTCATTAGACTGTTAAAAAATGTTTTTTATTTCCAACTCACAAGAATCTCTATACAGTAAATACCAAGATCCTGACTTATAAATTAGCTATTTAAGAGATTTTATGACACTATTTTCATTTCTTGAAATAATCTCACCATGTAGCTCAGTCTAAGCCAAAATTCCAGGTCCTCCTGTGTCACCTTAAGAGTGCTAGGACAGTTGCAGGCAGGTACCACCATGCTCAACTCCGATATGTATTTTAAAAGGAAAGTGGATGCAGCTCTGAGTTTAGACTCAACTTGCATCGTTCAGCAGAAAGGGCATTGGTGAGTTCAGTACTGTGCAACTGGCCTCACAAAAACGGACTATTGGAATGCCTCAGATGTAAAAATAAGCCATTGGCTTTTTATTTCGTAGTTAAATGTATATAGAGTTTGTAAAATACTGCCAAAATTCTGCTTTCTCACTGTCACATCCAAAGGGTACCTTCTTTCCCCCCAAAAGAGGAGGCCAACTGACTCATCCAAAATTGAGTCTGTGCCCAGCTCAACCTGGATACAGGAGGATTTCTGGTGGTCAGATAAAGGTCAGCATTCTTCAGGAACTTAGGAAACCTGTTCCCACCTGCCAAAAGGAGCCATTTCCCTTACCTCTGGCAGAAGTGGCTACTCATCTCAGCATCACAAATACCTGTTATACATTTCAAGGTTCACACTTGCATCCTATCCCTTCATACTTCCTCAGGATTCCTTGCTCCCAGATACCTGTTTATTCTCTTTATAATGTCAAGGTTTCTCCCACCCCTGCTTTCTCACTATTCCATCTCTCTGTCTCTCTCTATCATCTATCTATAATCTATCATCTAGCTACAATCTATATGTCTATCATCATCTATCTATCATCTGTTAGCTGTCTACTTTCTCTCTCTCCCTTGCTCTAACTATACTGTATCCTCTCTCTCTCTCCCTCCCTCCCTCCCTCCCTCCCCCCCCCTCTCTCTCTCAGTATCTTGCCATCTCCATTATTCTCTCCCACTTCCCTAACCCTGGCCATCTCCAGTCTGCTGGCCATGTTCACCCTGCTTCCTTTTCTCTCTGCTCTCACATCTACAACAGACATCTTAACCATAACATGGAGTGGTCATTTCAGAAGTTTCTTTGTTGAACCCCCTCGCATACAGTCATTACTTCCAAATAGTGTCTTTGCTGCATTTAACACCACGGTCCACTTAGTGATCATTTTTAATGGGCTATGCTCACATGTTGAAATGCGTGGTATTGCTCATAGATTCAATTTACATAGAAGTTATCACACTTTCAAGCCTTGTTCTACAACTTGCTTTCAGTTTGTCAATAATATGTTTTGGTTGTCTTTTGGTCATTTCAAGAAGAGGTAAAAGGACAGTAAAAGGACAAACCCTGGCCTCCCTACTGACAGGTGGCATATCTGCAGCTTCCATATCTAGAGCAGGATGACAATTTGCTGGGAATTATGAACTTTCCCACTTGACCTCCACCTTATAGGAATAGTCTTAATTGTGTACAAGACCATTCTCAAGGGTTGCTTTACATTGCTTACAATGGAGGAGGGGCCAAACTAAAATGTATATACATTGTAAAAATTAAAATAATGGACCCAATACCTTGGCAGTTTCCACGTTTAGCTTAGTCACTATGATATCACCTGATTATTATAATTCTTCCTCAGTAGATTTCTACCTTACATTGTGAGACAGAATCTCTCAATGTCCTCCCTGTTGCTAATGTCTGCTGGTCTAGCTCCAGGGATTCCCCTTCTTAGCCTCTCTCTAGTGCTGGGGTTACAGGAGGGCCACAAGTCTCACTAGATTTTTGTTTGATCTGGTCTCCATCTTTGTGAGACAAGCACTTTATGGAGAGAGCTCTCTTCACGGTCCTTATTTATTATTCCCATTCTACAATAAAACCTTATGAGTGGTCCCCAGGACACACAGGGTCAAGTGATAGCATGGTGGGGTTGGGGCAGGAGTGGAGGCAGGTGTTTCTGATTTTAAGCATCTGTCCAAAGTCACTGTATTACTGTTCTGTTACAATCTGGAATGTGGAGACTGTTTTATCCCATCCAGAGGGAAACATTGCAAACATGGAGACAATGAACTACTATGCAGGGTCTCCCTTACATCCTGAAGTCTTCAGGGGTTGAGAAAAGATTAGTAAGGATTCAGCCATCATCTTACCCCAGACGGTCTCTGGCCTTCCACCAGTGAGGGTCACACCTCTCCAATATCAGGTATTCCTCTGCTCTCTTCAGTGCCAAATTACAGGGCTCCCGGGGCAGGAAGTCATAAAGGGCCTTGACCTGGATCCTCTCTTCAGCAAGCTGGGCGAGCGGGAGAGGAGGCAGCGGCTTGCGTTTTGAGGGTTGTGCCCCGCCTCTGTTGGACTGTGAAACCCATTATGGCTTTAGTCATTTGTACCAAAAGAAAAGAACAGGGCATGTGCATCTGCCTCCATCTCACTTCAACTGTCCAACTCCACCAACCCACCAAGGCAGAAGCCAGGGACCAGAGAAGTGCTGCAAACGACCGGCTGCCACATGGCATAGGGGGTCAGGAACATACTGTCATTTGTGACTCTCTGATATCACAAATTCTCCTGACAGCATAGCTTTGGAGTTTCGTGTGCTGTGATTCTTAAAAGATGACTTACCCTGAAACAGTCTCATTTGGCTTTAGTGATTCTTCACTCATGAGAAGAGAAACACACACACCCCTGCTCTTCTCTGAGCTGTGAGCTTGTGTCTGAGTTCTCCACCTTCCTCAAGATTCGGTCTCCCAACACTCAGCTGGAATTTAACCCACAACCCAAGATGGCGGGAGCCACAGTGTCTTCCCCCACTAGTCACTGTCTTGTTTCAAATTCTATCTTTAAGTCTAGTCTAGAAGGCTAGCTTAACTGGATTTACTTTCTTCTGGAAAGCTTACTGAGCTCTTACTGTGCACTGATCATGATTTTAATTTTTGGGCATGATCACAAGTAGGACTTCCCAAGAGAGCTTCATGACACTCACTTGTTTCTTGCTCTTCAGTTTGTCAAGCCAGGGCCTGCGATGCTGGGAATAATTTTCTGAAGGTTCTTCATTTTTGCTCAGACTTATCTGTGTTCTCACTTGTCTAGAATCGAAAAGCAATCATTTTACAAGGAATTGTTCATAACAAGCCTATTCCTAAATCCTCTAGATTCCTTCAGAGATAAAGCAATCTGTGTGCCTTAAAAACAGTTTTCTTTATTTTCCACTTATTTATTTCTATTTATTTATTTTCCTAGTTCTAATTCCTTGAGAAAATTCTGAACTACAACTCTGAGTACTTTGTTTTCTGTATCTAGAAGCCAGAAGGGCAAAGTGAATTGGAGTTGTTTTGAAATAAAGTTACAAGAGTATGTCATGTGCTCAGAGTCTGATACGTTTGAGAGGCCTAAAATTATAACCAATCCAACCAACATCTACTCTCAGTCAGGCAGTGCGCAAAGTGCTTATCAGTCATCCGTATCACCTACTGTTACACATGTTCAAGGGGAATGATTAAGAACACTACACAAGTGTAGGCAGGCGATGGTGGTGCACGCCTTTAATCCCAGCACTCCGGAGGCAGTCAAGCAGTTGTCTGTGAGTTCCAGGCAAGCCTGGTCTACAGAGCAAGTTCCAGCACAAGCAGGGCTGTTACACTGAGAAATCCAGTCTTGGGGGATGGGGCGGAGGCACACAGTGTGCACCCCAGCTCCACCATTCCATACTGTTCCCTCAGACAAAGCAAAGCGACTTCTCTAAGCCTTGGCTTTTCTCATCTATGAGGTGAGAATTATAAAGGAAAACACCACGGACGGTTTTGAGACCTATGTGAATGAATAAACACACACCTCTTAGCATAGAGCTTATCGAACAGCTGCTGGCACGATGCCGTGACTTAATTCTTACACAATCACATACCAAAGCAAGGCTCTTGGAATGGATGTTATAATTCTTTTGCTTAAGGGGAAAAATTACCGAGTGGAACACAGATGTATAAAACAAACAAGCAATAAGGCCAGAAGTATGTCACATTCTGTGGGGACACACGGAAGGAGAAGTTGTATGTAGGTGAAGGATGGAGGACCAGATGACCCCTACAATTTGTCACCCTTACATTTGACTTATGAGTGGTTCAATGGAGACCCAGTGGGAAAAGATTTCCCAGACAGAAAGCAAGACACACAGACAGGAGACTCAACAGTCTGAGAAACTATATTAACCCATTTCCAAGAAATTACCCTCGAAACAGACTCACCTCTTCTGCACAGAGCAGCAGCAGCAGCAGAGAACAGACTGGAAGGTGCTGTCTGAAAAGGAGATCATTGTCACTGTTAGGAATCCATGGGTCCATGACAGTGTATAGGGGAAGCTGGCTGTGCTCCGGGTAAGAGCCAGGGAACCATGAATGTCAGATGCACAGGAACATCATGGCTATCTTCAGTAGTGGAAGACAAAAAATAACTGTCACAAAACCAAAAAAAAAAGTTACTGGCATCCTGGCCAGTGTGGTTTCCCTTCTCAGGCTCTTCTCTCTGGCCTGGTTTCTGCATTTCCTTTCTCTGCAAGTAACAAATGGTCAGTGCAATCTCTTTTGTCATGGCTAGTGTTGTCTATAGAAATTATAGAAGTATAGAAGTACAGAAGAATGTGTTTCTAGAAACAAGTGTTCTCCAAGGAAATCTATTAGCAGGAGTTTTAAATTAGGCCCACCACAGTTTCTAGAAAGCTTTTAAAATGAAAAGAAAGCTCTCAACCTCACTAGAGCTAGCTGGTAAACTTCATCTTCACGGGATTTTACATTAGATCACCAATCTCCTGGCCAATTATTTTTCCTAGTTCCCAGTTATCAAGCCATTACCGATGACCCCATGTCTGTTAATGGCTCAGACTACGTCTTTCTCTAAGCGAGCAAACTAACAGGCTCCCTGAAGTTGGGAAGCCTTTCTTTCAGCATTACTTTCCAGGTTGCTTCTGAATGAGACACTTACACAACAGCTATTTCTTTCCCATAGGTATAGGCTTGCGATGCAGACCTATCCATAAATGAGACCAGAGGCTACACCTCTCTCCTTAGCTCACAGAGAACTAACTGTGACCCCACTGGTGAGGGCTACAGGGTACCAGCCGAGTATGTCTCCTAATCAGAGTGTTTCCTTGACGAGCTGAGGGTTCCTTCCATAACGCCACTCCCATGTTATTAGGTAGCATCCATAAGTCCTATTTTGGAGTTCATTGAACCAGAGAATACCAGGTGCATGAGAGACAGGTTGAATCACATAAGTATTAGATTCGTAATCAAGAATCTAATTTTAGGACTAGAGCTCAGCAGGTAAATTAAAAGTACTGGCTACTCTTCTAGAGGATAGAGTTCAATTCCCAGCACCCACATGATAGTTCACAACCATCTGTTATTCTAGTCCTGGGGCATCCAACACACTCTTCAGGCCTCTGTAGGCATCATACACAAACATGGCACATATACACGTAGATAAAACACCCAGATACGTGAATAAAATTAATTACAAAGTAAATGATGGAGATTTAAAAAAAAGGATCTAGTCTCGCCTTTCCTCAGCGGCTGCTAAAGTGCTTGATTTTTCTCAAGTGACTAAGGTCATGTTGGAATGAGGCTCTCGCTCTATCCAGTGACTGGCATGGATCTGATAGTCCACACCGTAGCCTCTATCTCCACACTCACCTCGCTGCATTTTGCATGGTGGTGAAGTAGCCCTTGCAGAGGACAAAATCATCGCCCTTATTAAAGCACTTGCTGGTGGTAACATTGACCCCTTTGGGCACGGTTTGTTTGCAAAGGCCCTCTCCAGTATTGACATTGGAACCCTCAGACACCAATGTTGGAGATGGTGGACCTGTTCCAGTGGCTAGTGCTCCAACAGCAAGTGCTTCACCAACCAAAGGTCCAGCCCACTGTGCTGCTGCTGCCCCAGCGAGGAGGAGAAAATGGAAGCCATGCATGAAGAGCATGACGATGGTTTCAGTCTTTTTGACTAAACGTCTCTTGAAATCTGTTCAATAAAAAGCTGGACTCATAAGAGAAAGGATTGTGGGAACCAGTCCTCACCATCAGCAAGCTGTGAGTTACTTTTCAGACAGGAGGTGATCAGCAGCCAAGTCCAGAAATAATTCCACATTCCTGGGCTTTTTCAAAAGTTCCATGGGGACAGAACCTGATGTTATTGCACTCTCCCCAGGCCACCACCAGTGTCAATTTGAGGAGTACTAATTAGGTCATTTCTCCAATGAATGAAAATAACCCTGAATCTCTAACAATGTGACCAAGTGAATCTTAATTCTGACTTTGAATCTGCCTTCTGGCACCATGGAGATGACAGACAAACTGACACACACTCCTCAGAGAGAGGTTACATTAGCCATTTAGTGCTCCATCTGCTCTGGAGGAATGGATCCGATTGGCATTTTGATCCATGTATTGCGCAGTTGTTGAACCTAATGAGATCTGTGTCTATGCAGGCCTCGAGACAATTATGTATAGGTTAAACAAACAAGTAAAGCAGGTCAATTCGGGATAGATTGTGGCAAAGGGCCATGTGCAAGCTCGTGTAGAGGCATTCAAATTCAAAACTTTTACCAACATCCCTCCTCCTGTATCACCATTTTCTCCTTCTCCTCAGACCATTTCTGTCAGTGCAAACACACTGTTCATTCAGTCACTGTTACAGAACAAAACAGTTGGCTCCATAGTCATATTTCCTGCACCAGCTCTACTGTCAATGGTCAAATCCGGAAATGAATAGGCTGTGCTTGTTGCTTCTGATGGCTCTCCTATTGTCTCTTTCTTCTGAAAAAGTGGAATAAACATGGACACACACCATGAAGCCCAGTGGTCAGTTCTAAGTTCTCCCCTCACGTGACCCGTATAGTATGTAGTAGCACAATACCCCCTTGGACTTGTTCTAAGCCTCCTCATCTACCTCCCTGGCCTCTTCATCTTGGACAGCTTCCAAAGTCTTTGATCTTTTCTTTGTCTCATGCCTTCCTTTGACTATTTCATGTCCTCCTGTGGCTTAGAAAGACTCTTCACCAGCTCACAGATCACCATCACCCACAGTCCAGTTCTAATGAATTCCAGCTGAACACAGCCAAGCAAACCCTCAAATTCCTCATTTGGATGTCTAGTAGTCACCCCGACTGGATGTTGAGATGAAATCTGAACTCTTATTCATCCACCGTTGCCCATCTTCCTCTACCTACCCTTCTCCATCTTGTCAAAAGCAGTTCTCTATTCCCAGTGGCCCAGGCCAACAACTTCCGAGTCATCTTGACTCACCTCTTTCTCTCCCACCTCAAGCCAATGTGGCAGGAAGGCACATGCCTTGAAAAAAATAGGTTTAGTGGCACATATCTGTAACCCCAGAACTTGGGGGTTTGAAGCAGGAGGATTGCTGTGAGTTAAAACCAACATGGGCTGCAGAGTGAATACAGTGCAAGCCAGGGCTACATAGCAAGACCTTGACTTAAATGGAGTGTGTGTGGGGGGGTGCACTCATGTTTGTATCTCCCAAGAATTTCAATATTTCAGTTTAGGGTGATAAAAAGTTCTAGAGGTGGATCATGAATAAGGTTGTACAACAATGTGACTGTATTTAGTGTTACTGAAAATAGTTAAAATGGCCAACCCCTCCTCTTCCTTTCTCTTTGCTTCTTGAAGTCAGGAGCCAAAATCAGCCTTCCCCCCATTTTAAGCTCATTAGCTTAGGATTTCTGTTCCAGTAACAGAAAGCTGGTTAACACCCCTCCCCCGACAATGAACAACACCCCCCCACACACACACACATACAGCTTTCTCCCATCCCATCTGCTACTGCTATGGCAACCCACTGTTATCTCACCTGTTGCTTCTACAGTGTGTTCTCTGCACAACGGCCAGAGCAATAAGTCTTTTTAAGCCTGACGGACTATGTCACTCTGTGTCTGCAAACTCCTCAGTGACTCCTCATTTCACTCACAGTTGCAGCCAGACTTCTTGCCGTGGCCTATGGAAGCCTCCACGATCTGGCCTACTTCTGCTCCTCGTCTCTCCATCAGGCACCTGCACACTTCCCTCCAGCGCGCCCAGCCTCCCATGGGCTGCTTCTGGAGCACATCTGGCCAGCTGTGGGGCAGACTCTTAGCTTTGGATTAGCCTAAAGTGTCTTCCCTCAGGGTCTGCAGCATCAAGGCCCATCAATCCCTTCAAGTCTTTGTTCAAATCTCACCTTGTCAACGGACGTACGTGTCAACTATTACTGCCAGCTTTGTGTGTCACTCTGAAACCTCTTACGCTGTCCTTTCTTCTTTCTTTCCTTTCATGCGTTTCTCTCCTTTTAACACACTGTGCATTTTTCTGCCTTCCCTTTAGAAAGTAAACAGATTTTTGTCTATTTGGCTTATTTCCCAAGACTAGAACAGCTCTTCAGAAATAATATTCTTGGATCCGTGAGTGATGAATATGTTTGAAGGAATAATATAGGTGGTAAATATTTTTGATAAGTGAGTGCTGAATATGTTTGAAGGCTCACCATAAGCTTGCTCAAAATATTTTTGAGGGGTTTGCGAACTGTCCTTGGGAACAGAGCAATCGAATACCATAGGAAACAGTGGGCCCTGAGAACATACCAGATTAGGTTGTGAAAGTCTTTGAAGTAGAGGAAGCCCAGGCCTGGGACTGTTCCTCCTTGCAGTAGTACATTGTAAACAGACAGGAGAGAGGAATGATTAGCAAGACTAAATTACAGCTGAGTGATGGTATAGCCAATTGTGCTATGACCACGCATGACCTCACTTTTTAAATATGACTAAAATACTTAATGTAATCAAAACTAAGAATAGTCACTTTATATGATTTCTATATTTTCCTTATTACCAAAATGTTTAAATTTTTAAAATCTATAAGTTAAAAGAAGATGAACTCAGAAAGTCAAACAAGACTATGATTAGGTAGGCAGCTATTCTAGGACTTGTACATACATATGCCTTTTAGTGATAGACACAAACAGATTTTATTTATCTAATTAATCCACCATCTTATGCTTTTATGAAAATGGAATTTTTATCTTCTCAATTACCCTTAATGAGAAACTCATCTATTGTTTCTCCTCCCTGATCTCATGTTTGTCTGTCAGGCCACCATGTCTATCTGTCAGGGCACCACAGAAACCTAGGGTTCTTTTTGAGATCCACTCTGTTTAGTCAACCAGCCGTCAGTCAGTCCTCCTCCTGTATACCAGTTGGCCACCAGAATCATAGGGAGGCTGTGTGAGACCAAACAGTAACAATATACCTTACAGGTTAAGGGTTCTGTTTGCAGGCAAGACAATTAAGAACAAGTTCCTGCTGGTCCTGTGTTAACTCCTTGCAAGTTAAGGCTTCTATTTGTAACTAAGAATATGTTCCTGTTTCTTAGATCTGGTGTAAGCTGCTTGCATCTTCTTTCACATGGT